GGGTCCCGCCCCATTGAGTCCGGCTTCCTGGGGGAAACGTGGACCGGGCCGGGGCGGGTTCTCCGGCGCCTCTTCCCTCCCGTAGTTTGCTGGGGGGGATCCCTACCGCAGAAAAGGGGTGCGGCGTGCCCTAGTCGACGCGCCCCCTCGGCCGGCTGCGGCTACAATGTTACTCTTACTACTGTACTTCTCGCTCCAAAATTCCACTCCCCGCACCCACAATGCTCCGCGCCTTAAAGGGGCCGCGGACGCGGACAAGCGGGGGTTGGGTGGGGGTGGGTGGAGCGTGCTTAAACTGGCAACGCAGAACGCTCGACTTCCGCAATTTCCCTCCTTCTTAACGTTCTTGCCTAGGTGGGTACCCTGGGCCTCAAACTGGGGGCAAGCTTGGTGGAGAAGGGATGCTTCCTGGATCTCTTGTTCTCACTCACTATGGGAATTCTTACGGGGATCTCAGTGGGGACATAATTCTCCCGTCCTACTCTCCCCACTGACTTCTCCATTTCTTAATAGTCTCAGAAGGAGGGGGAAGCCCTCTGGTTAAGCAAGGGCTTTCTCAAATTTTCTCCCTTAAATCCCACAATTGGACGCCTGTCCCACCTCACCCCCGTGACTCACTTCTAAATTTCAGAGGGGTTGGTAAGGGGTGACACCCCCAACTCAGCCCTGGGAAGGTAGGCAGCCAAGGCTCCACCCCTTGCTGCCCCTCAAGGCCCGCCCGGCTGCCAGCTAAGGTGAGGAGGAAGTGGGCCGAGGGGGCGCGGCCGGCCGCTGACTCACAGCCTCAGGGTACGGGGTGGGGGTGGTGATGGGCGGGGAAAAGAGTGGTGGGGTGCTGAACCTGCCGGGGCCGGGGACGGGACACCAGGTTCTCGTGTGGACAAAGCACCTGGCCCCTTCCCCCCATGCGCATCCCGTTTTGACTTAATTTTGCCCACATCCCAGCAGGACCATCCCAGCTACGGAACGGGTGAGAGGCGAGGGAACCCTCCCGGTGCCGGCTCTCGGGAGCCACCTCCCCCCGCCACCGGCTCGGTGGATCACCTATGTCCTTCCCAGGCTTCTGCCTCCGACCCGCAGGCCCCGCCCAGAATGACGTCACCACCGTGGCCCTGCCTCTTAGGACGCCTGCTGGCCTGGGTGAGGTGTCTCTATCCAAGGAAGTCATCAGTTCCAGTTTGACAAAAGAGTAAACTGAGGCCTGGGGCAGGAAATGAATCCGGCCCAGGACCCTGTTGCTTGAGCCCCCAAACCCCCTAAAATCAAGGTGTGAGTGTAAATTGCGATTCTTCAGGCCGGCTGACCAGGTGAATCACCCGTCCCATCTTTTGTCCAAGCACAGCCACCACCACTTTATGGGGGGCACCTCATGTTCTAGGCCACTTATTAACATTAACTGTACTCTAAAGAAGAGAGGAACTGGAGCCCGGCTTGGTGGCGCTGTAGTTCCAGCACTTGAGAGGCTGAGGCAGGAGGATCACTGAGAGTTTGAGGCCACCCTGCGCTACACAGTGAGTTCAGGGCCAGCCTAAACTAAAAGGGAGATCCTGCCTCAAAAAAATGAAAAAAAAAAAAAAAAAAGAAAACAACAAAGGCACTCTCTCCCCTTCTCCACACACCAAGGATCAGGGACACCTTGAACCCTGATCCTCCTGGGTTATTGTTTGTGTCTCCTGTGGCTCCGAGTTCTTTGGAGCAAGGGCACAGCTCCATCCATTCTGGGCCTCACTCAGCCACTCCACACTGGAGGCAAGAGCTTTTATCCAGCCCACAGAGAGCCCAGTGCTGTGTGACCTTGGCCAAGACCTTGATCCTCTCTTAGCTTTCCCACCTGTGCAATGGTCTGGGTGGTATTTCTGGGTACCACTTGCCTATAGCCAAAGCTGGCAAACTTGAAGTCCACTTAGTAAATACTCTAGGCAAGTTGGATATGGGTCTGTATCACATGTCCTTTTTTTTTTGCTATGCTGGGATTGAACCTGGAGCTTCATGCATATATAAAAGCTCTTTGAATAACCCTTTAAAAATGTAAAAAGCATAATTAGCTTGAGAGTTGAACAACACAGGTAGCAAGACCTATACTGAAGAATTCTTGGCCAGGCATGTTGGTGCACGCCTGTAATCCCAGCACTCAGGAGGCTGAGGCAGGAGGATCGCTGTGAGTTCGAGACCAACCTGGGCTATACAGTGAGTTCCAGGGCAGTCTGAACTACATAGTGAGACCCTGTCTCAAAAAACCAATAAATAAATAAATAAATAAATAAAAATAATTCTTGCTTGTGACAGAAGGAACCTGATTAAACATCTTTATTGCAATAGTGAGGTGAAAGGGGAAAACTGGAGTAGTTTACATGCATGTCAGAAAGACAGAGGGTAGTGAAACTTGTGCACATCCGTGTCTGCAGAGCTGGGCAGCACTCAGAAAGAGAGAGGTTAGTCAGCACAGTGGTGCAAATCTGTAATCCTGGAACTCTGGGAGTCTGAGGCAAGAAGACCACAAGTTTGAGCCCAGCCTCATCAATTTAGCAATTTAATCTCTGTCTCAAAATAAAAAATAAAAGATGAGGGTTGTAGCTCAATGAAAAGGCCTTCGTTTCAATCCCCAATACAGAAAGAAAGAGAAAAAAGTGGAGAAAGAGATTGATTGTGAATGACATGGGTGAAGTTTTTATTTTTTTGAGACAGGGTCTCACTATGTAGTTCAGGCTGGCCTTGAATTCACTGTATACCCAACATGGCCTTGAACTTGTGGGGATCGCCTCTGTCAGCCTCTCTAGTGCTATAATTACAGTCATGTACTGCCACCCCTGGCTGGTAAAGTATTTAATGTATTATTGAGAAGCACAAGTTGCCAAACGGTATGTAAAACATGCAGGAATCAAGGAACGGCAAGACACAGCACACGTGTGCACACACAGTCTGGCAAAGCCGCTCCACACTCACTGCCATGGTTACCAATGGCATGGGTCGGGGCTGTAAGAAATGTGGTCCCAGAGATCCCAAACCTCATAAGGAAAATGCCCAGCTCAACGCTGCCCTTAGATCTTTGCACCGGCTATCCCTTCTGCTCTGGACGTTCTTCTCCCAGAGGGTTCTTGCAGGGCTGGCTCCCCTCGGGTCTCAGGTCTCTCCTCAGTTATCCCCTCCACAGAGACCTTGCCTGATCCCACGGTTACCCCTGCTGCACAGATCTGGTTGGAAGGATAGGAGGAAAACTACCCTTTGGACACCGTCTTGTACCCTTTGAATTTAAAAATGAATGAATGAATTACCCATTCAAAAACTAAATGAATCAAATTAAAAATAAGAACAGCAACAAAGCATTTCCGTGGCCAGAGTCGTTATTTTTTGGTGGGTTCTTGTTAAATTGTCCAGGGTGCCTCCAACTGGTGGTTCTTCTACAGAATAGCTGAGACAGTGGACATACACCTCTGCAACTGGCTGCCTTCTTCCTCTTCTTCTCTTCCTCCTCCACCGCTTCCTCCGGCCCTCCCCCCATCTCTCCCTCCTCATCCTCCTCTACTTCTCCTTCCTCTTCTTCACCATTTTTTCCTTCTTCTTTTGAGACAGGGGTGCACTACGTAGTCCGTTTTGGCCTTGAACTCACTGTATAGCCGAGGCTAGCCTCAAACTCACAGTGATTCTCCTGTCTCAGCCTCCCGAGTGCTGGGATTACAGGCGTGCACGACCATGCCTAGCATAGTCATTAAAAAAAAAAAGATGAACTAAAAGAGAACATACGAGAAAAGGAAAAAAGTGGAAACAAAGTCTTTGTAAACGGAGGGTGGAGGGACTGAAGGGAGGGCAGGGGTATGGGGAAAAAATGAGAACCAAGATCTGTCCTGTAAAGGTACAAGATCCCAATGATGAATGGAACTGTACTGTATACTTAAAAAATACCAATAAACTCAATGAAAAAAAAAAGATGTCCTATTTTTCTTGTGATACTCGTTACTGGCTGAGTTGATCTCAATGAATTGGCCAGACTTATACCTGTGAATGGGGCCTGACCTACACCAGGTAACCCTACAAATTTGCTGACTGGGAAAATAACTTTTTTGAATGAGGAAATATATTTCAAATTAGTTAAATAATTAACATTTAATAATCAAAACTCTCGCCTACTGCTGTTCTACAAACAGATGAAAAATAGGAAGAAAAGGTTGTTGAACTGGGTGATATTTTAAGATCTCTTCAGTTCAAATTTCTCCAAAAAATATATATTTTTTTGCCTGAATAGTGGTGGAATTTCCCCTCATAAGACTTTTCTGTGAGGGGGAAGTAGTAGAAAGGGAAATAAGCATTCTGGGGTTCCTTCATTTGCTGGTCTTCTTCCTGCTGGTCCATGGAGGTGGAAGGGGACAGTTTTCTTCCTTGGTTCTGTTCCCCCAGTTGTGCAGACAGTCCAGGTCCCCAAAGAACAAAAACCTGTCAGGCTTCCCAGTCCCATGCAGGATTCATATGGAGTCTGTGGGCTTCCCGGCCGTGCCCTGCACCTTCTGCAACATAGAACTCTTCTGCAAGGTGGAGAACTCGGACCCTACTCTTCTGCCTTCTGTAAGAATTGCTCTCATTTTCCTCCCAGAGGACAATATCCTAACCTGATTTATTTATTTATTTATTTATTTATTTTGCGGAACTGAGGATCGAACCCAGGACCTTGCTTTTGTCCAGTAGGCACGAATCCACAGAGCTAAATCTCTGGTCCTACCCCGGATTTCCTGATCCATCAGGTTTGGGTAGAGTGGACTCCAGTGCCAGTTGAACAGGGAACCCTGGCCTGGCCAGTCAGAGATGCTTTGGGTCAGGCACGTGACCCTAGTATAGCCAATGGGAACCAGCTCTGGCACCAGCTGTTACTAGCATGAAATTGGCAAGATGCCCTCCACTGGGGACTGCAGGGTAAGAATCTGAACCTGAAGTGCAGCTCTTGTTGCCTCATAAGGGGACCCTACATGGAAATGAAGCCAGTTCTGAGAGAATAAAGCCAAGATGGTTCCTAATGATATCACGTGACTACCAGAGGCAGGATTGCCTTGAGTCCTTGATGTCTTCAGTGAAGTGGCCCAGTAAATTCCCTGCTTTGATTTCCCAGATTTCCCTCACTCAAAGTTCAATGAGTGCTGACCAGTCCCTGCTGCTGCTGAGGAACTATCAACAACCCTTCTTCATTCATATGATTATAAACAAACACCCATCTCTGCCAAGCAAAGGCCATGGGCCTTTGGCCTTAGCTTCCTCTTGCATATTTCTTTCCTCCCTGCACTCCACCCTATTCTTTCTGTCCACCTCGCTACAACTCCAACTCCTCAGCTATCCAGGTCCCATTACAGCTTCTCTCTCTTCCGTCCAAGACTGGGAAATCCTCAGAATATCCTGGAGGTGTCTGTAGTGCAGGTGGGCCTTGGAAAGGGCCATTCATATTCCAAGAATGTTTGTGTTTATGGTGCTTGGGATGATGGGGTTTTCCAGAGCACAGCAGAGGCCACACTTCTTAGAGAAGACCCACAGCTCTTTCCTGCAGCTGCGTCCCTCCCCTGGACCCACCAAGCCTCACATAGTACTGCAGGGCTACAAGGATATATTAAGATATCGGGCACGTTCCTTGTCCTCATGGGCTTCAAATTCCACTTTACTAAGAGAGGAAGGGGTACTGGATTACATGTTGCTTACAAGAGCACAAGTTAAATCACTCCTCGTGGTGTATGCCTGTGATCCCAGCAAGGGAGGCTGAGACAGACAAAGGCAGATCAACAGTTTGTTTGAGGCCAGCCTTGGCTATATTGTGACATCAAGGCCAGCTGAACTATATAGGCTAAACTTGTCTTAAAAAAAAAAAAAGATGTTCTAGGTGGGCATGGTGCTACAAGCTAGTAATCCCAGCACTCAGGAGGCAGAGGTGGACTTCAGTTGAGGCCACTCTGGGTTAAACAGGGAGTTAGGGGCCAGGGTGGACTCCTTAGCAAAGACAAAGAAAAACACAGGTCTTGCACAGAAGATGCAGTGCAGTGGTAGAGACTCCAGGTTCAATCACCAGTGCTGCAAAACCAAACAACAAAACACAGCAAGAACAGAGGATCCTTACCTCCCAACACTTTTTGGAGGCCTGGTGGAGCCAAGAATAAGCTTCAGTGATGACAGTGGCCCTGGGGAGCAGAGCAAGGCCCTCATGAGGAGACCCTCCTTCTGCCGCTCCACCCCAAACCCCAGCCATCTCACTGCAGTGCAGGCCTCCCCCAGGAGGCCAATCCTGGATTTCCTCAGAGGCCAGAGTCCCAAAGCCTGTGTTCAGGAGGAGGGGCTCCTGAGCACAGGCACACAGCTCTGAGGAGGGTGTCAGAGTGCTGGGGAGCCCTGTTGGCATTGCCCTCCTACTGGGCTCTGATCTCTTCCTCACCATCAGCTTTGAGGCCCAGGGCTGCATGCAGCGCGAGCTCTCTCTGGATCGCCTCTGCACACAACCTGGGGACCCTGGGAAGCAGACCACGGTGCAGGTCACGATGTCCAGGCTGCCCTGGATAACGGGGACAGAGGGGAGCGCGGCGGGAGAGGGCGGAGGCGCTAGCACAGGGTTCCATGCCTTTGGGAGGGTAGGTTCCCCGGGATCCCGGTACCCACGTCCCTGCACCAGGCTGCTTATGCCCACCGGCCAGTCTGAACCAAGAGGTCAGCCAGGTGCGGGGGCACGTGTCTGCAGACCGGGCAG